GACATAGGCTGTTTACAAAATGCTAGCTTGAAAGTCTGTAATTTTCATGTAATAACTTTTAGTTATTTGCCGTTGAGCACCTGTTCTGTTTCTGAGGAGGTAAGATGGGGTGGTGTATTATACACTAGGAAATGGAGTCATAATCCCTCCTGGCTTTGTGTGAATAGCTTGCTCACTTCACTGGCCTCTGAAATGTGTGTAAACTGTCCGTGTGTTTGTGATAACAGTGCTTGTCCACCATGACCACAGCTGAGTATCTTCCTAGTCCTCGCCTTGCACAGTATTTGAAACGGCAAAGGATGTGCTTCATTCTCAAACGGCACACACTCAAAGAGCTGACGTTCTCGGTTGTGACTGTGCAGTTTCCCTAGTTTATTCCTGTAGTCCCTATAGAATGATCTGTGATAAAATAGTATACTGGACTGTGCATCAAAGGGATGTAAAATTACAGTATTCCAAAGGTTGAAGTTCTGCTGTTTTGTTACAATGCCTGATATATACCTTGAATAAAGTCTTAACGTTTTTCTTTTAAAAAACATCTTTGTAATGTCGAGCTTATGAGGAAAGAGAAAATACTTTAGAATGTTTATTTTTATTTTTATTTTTTTTGAAAGAGAGAAAGCTTGAGTGGGGGGAGGGGCAGGGAGAGAGGGAGAGAGAGAATCTCAAGCAGTTTCCATGCTCAGCGCAGAGCCCAACATGGGGCTTGATCCCATCATCATGAGATCACGGCCTGAGCCAAAATCAAGAGTTGGGACGCTTAACCAACAGAGGCACCCAGGAGCCCCAGAAAGGGAAAATACTTTTTTAAAATGTGGAAGGTAGCAAGGATTTAGAAGCTGAGTGCTCAGTCATTAACTGGTCCGGTGCCTTGGCCCCATGCCTACTGCATAGAATTGTGGTGGGAAAAAAATTAAAATGGGTGTTTTGAAAAACAGTTGATCATGTAAATATAAACCTGGTAGTATGTTTTACATTTTTAAAAGTCACTAGTGGAATCTGTGTGGCTATGAAAATACAGCAGCTCATCTGGTAAACAGTTTTAATTGTGCAAGCAGAAATTTGGTCTATCGTTTTCCTTCTTGGTACCTGTTCCCTCGCCTGCAAGTGAGGGAGTACATGTGCAGGTCAGAAGAGGGTAGAATGTGCAGAGGAGCACTGAGTGACATGGGTGCTCTTAATACTGCTGCAGCCCTTGTCTTTAAAATATGAACAGGCTGGGGCACCTGGGGGGCTCAGTTGGTTAAGCATCCAACTCTTGATTTCAGCCCAGGTCATGATCTCACAGTTCACGAGTTTGAGCCCCACATTAGGCTCTCCACTGTCAGTGCAGAGCCCACTTTGGATCCTCTGTCTCCCTCTCTCTGCCGTTCCCCAACTTGTATTCTCCCTCTCTCAAAAACAAACCATTTTTAAAAATCTTAAAAAAAAAAAAAAAAAAAAAAAAAAAAAAAAAAAAAAAAGGAACAGGCGGAGTACCTGGCTGGCTCAGTCGGTAGAACATAGGACTCTTGATCCTGGGGTCCTGAGTTTGGGCCCCATGCTGGGTGCAAAGTTTACTTAAAAATATGAACAGGGTGCCTGGATGGCTCAGTTGGTTAAGCGTTCAACTCTTGATTTCGGCTCAGATCATGATCTCACAGTTCGTGGGTTCGAGCCCCACGTCAGGCTTTGTGATGACAGCATAGAGCCTGCTTGGGATTCTCTCTCCCCATCTCTCCCTCTCCCCCTCCCCTGCTCACATAGGCACGTGCACACGTTTTCTCTCTCTCAAAATAAACATTAAAAAAAAATATGAACAGGCACATATTAGCTTTACTGGGTGGTCACAAAGACTTGAACACAAAATTTGAAGCATCAAAATGCAACACTCATTTTCTTTGCCTTTATAGTCTTATATGCTGTATGGTTGGCATGAGGGCTATAAAAGTAAGCAGCAGCAGATAAAGGACCACGTTCAGAAGGCTGAAAGGAAGACAAAGAGGTGGAAAGAAAGGCTAAAACTCCATTCATTTATTCATTTATTGAGCCAAGTCCAATGGCAACAGAACTGAGATTAACCAGGTGAAGAACTGACAAATAACAGAAAAGCAAAGGCTGACTTGGTACAGTGTCATGAATAAGTATTTAGTATTTATAGTACTAGGTCACAGTCACTTTATTTAGATATGAATTTTCACGTTAAAAGACTCCAGGAAATGCATAGGATTCCAGGAAGTTAGACCTAGGTTCTGTGACTTATTAGCTGTATTTTGGGTAATTTATTTAACCTTCTATAAGCTGGAGTTTCCTCAAGTCTAAACCAGGGATTAAAAAGTATCTCCCTTGGTCACCTGGCTGGCTCAGTTGGAAGACTGTGAGACTCTTGATCTGATGGTCGTGGGTTCTAGTCCCACAACAGGTGCAGAGATTACTAAAAAAATAAATAAACTTAAAGAAAAAACCTCCCCTGCAAAGTTGGAATGAGGATTCAGTTTTGTATGTATATGCCCATCCCTATGCTGGAATGCAGTCGGTATTCAATAAATTATACCTTCACATAAAGTTCAGTGCCATTTCAGTAGGCTCTTTAATGAAAGATGTTTGGTTGTCAGAGTATAAAATCAGTGTGGATGATAAGCCCTGCTACCCATAAAACAAAAGTCATATACACGAAAATTCCCTTTCTCCGAAATCACATGTGTGGCAGCCCTTACACCTCAATCCGTGTCTGGATGCTGAGGTCTGGTTGCCGGTTCTGGTCTCTACCCCTCCTACCCTGGGTCTACGGGAAAAACCAAGGTGCTCTGAGGCCCCTATAACTGAGAGCTTTGTTGTCTGTATTTGTACTAGCGAAGTCACAGAGGCAGTGGGAAAGTGGCCTCCTCCTCAACTTCTTCAGGTACCAGTTCCATCCTGCTACCAGGGGTGAGTGGAGGCAGGAGCTGGATGGGTAAGAAGTGATGTGGAAACCTTGAAGTGCTTAGATTCTGCCATCTCAGAAGTTACAAGAAAATGAAAACCCATCAAAACAGAATGCCACTGCATGCTGCAGTCTTACCTCATCTCCAATCAAATGTCTGCTCTTTATTAATTGGTCACATCAACAGACATACAGGTGGGCTTCTAGTTTTGGAACACTCTATTGTCACCCCTTTTCCTTTTAAGGAACATGCACTGGTTTCAAGAAGTTCCTCTCCTGACTTGCCACAGAATTTCAACTTGGTTATCTTTAACCTTATTCTATTAACAATAGAGAAACTTCATCTTATCATCAACTATTAAAGGATTTGAAGTAGTAATTGAGGCAGAATTCTAATTAATAGACACAGTCCGTGACTCACGATGGTCTTAGATTTTTCGACTTTATGATGGTGTGAAACAACACACATTCAGTAGAAACCGTACTTTTAAAAATTCTGATTTTGATCTTTTCCTGGCCTAGTGATATGTGGTAAGATATTCTCTCGTGATGCTGGGCAGTGGGAACGAGCCGAGGCTCCCAGTCAGCCACGTGATCAGAAGGGTAAACAACGGATAGACTTACAACCATCCTCACCCACACACAACCTTTCTGTTTTTCACTTTTGGTACAGTATTCAATAAACACAAGACAGTCAACACTTCAGTATAAAATAGGCTTTGTGTTAGATGATTTTGCTCAACTGTAAGCTAATGCAAGTATTCTGAGCACATGTAAGGTAGGTTAGGCCAAGCTACGATGTTTGGTAGCTTAGGTGTATTAAATGCGTTTTTGACTTAACAATATTTCCAATTTACAATAGGTTTACTGGGGTGTAACCCCATCGTAAGTTGGTTAAGATCTACAGTGGTTTTTCAACCAGGCCAAGTGCTCTCTTGTTGGAAAATGCTTCCCAGATGACTCTGATGGGACAGCTCAGAACCACTGCCCTAGCTTTAACCACATGGTGAAGAGAATTTTCCTTAATGCCTCTTACCCAGCCCTCTTCAAATGAACAATGCTTAACTCTTGCTTAGTGTCTATAATGTGCCTTTGGAAAATGTTTATCCTCACAATTAAAAACATGAAATCTCTGGTAGATAAGTCATCTTTTAGAAAATACAGTACCTTTCAACTCTTGAATAAGAAGTTTTTGTCCTCACGTGTAAAGCCTCTTCTGTTTCATGAATGGGCATACAGAAAGGCTGTTTGATTTACTCTTCTCCCTATAAAAATCCTGTTCCAATAAACTGAGAACTGTTATGAACCAATAAGCCTAGCATACTAGATGTGTGCTACAACCCCAAGCTCACCTCTAAGCGAAACTGCTCCATGTGAACCTGCTAACACAACCAACTGAGGCAGGGTGGGCTCCTGACACCGGTCAATGACCCCTGAGAAGACCTGGTGTAAAGAGATAAGCTGGCCCAGTTAGAGACTCTTGGCAACTGGAGCCTGGAGATGGGAGCTGAGGGTTAGGATGCAGAAAACAACCCGAAAGGTATGAGCTAGGATTATGATGGGGGCAGAAACTGAGTCACATGCATGGCAGACCCCCAACCCTAAAAATCTAGCATCTTTTGCTCCTGAGGCCCTTAGAGGTGCCTTGGATCTTGGAACACCCTACAATTTCTGTTCGTTCCTGAGACCTGGGGGTTATTTCTGGGAGGGGGATGGAGCTGGTGAGATGGTTCCTGAGTTCCCAGGCACACATCCTTCAAATAATGTCACACTGCTTGAGGTAACTTGTTGGCTTTCAGTCTTCTTATGCCTGCTCTAACTTCAAATTCCTTGCAACTAGATAAGCCTAAGTGGAAATAGTTAAGCCATTACCATTTGTTAAAAATAATCAACAATTTTAAACTCTCATTTCCCTGAACAAATTTTGAAATGTTTAATCCATTAAGTTTTAAAACTTTAATAAGTTTAATGTTGGAACTGTGTGTTTCCATACCAATTGGCACAATTTACATCAAGTTTTACACTTACTCATTCTTGCAAAGACATCATTTACACAAAGATACATATTCGGTAACTGGGAAGTCCTAAAACTTCTGATCTAGACTTTCAGGTTTGTCCGATCATGATACTTCTGATAAGGATCGTCAGCATACCAGTTTCGCCTCTTCCAAAAAGACGTTGTCATTTTATCTAAGAGCTTACTCTGGGTTTTATTGCAGAACACGAATTCCCTCAAGCGCCTTTTTCTTGCAGTCGTCTTTTTCCATAATTTTTTCTTATAACCAGCCTTCCTCCTTAGCCACAGGCCAGAATGAAGTCGAAGAAACCTGTAGATGACAGCTTTCACAGTCTTTCTCTTCCCTTTCCGTGAACTGAAGTATGTTACGGTTCTGACTGGTAGCTTCAGGACATTTGGAAGCAAGGGGGCCGCTCTAAAATATATTTTTAAAAATATAACTCAGCAATAAGACTCATTAAAGGATAAAATCCATTTCTATACTTAGAAATGAGTGGGGGCGCTTGGGTGGCTCAGTCGGTTAAGCATCCGACCCTTGATTTCAGCTCAGGCCATGATCTCACAGTTCATGATTCAAGCCCCTCGTCAAGACTCTGCACTGACAGTGTGGAGCCTGCTTGGGACTCCCTCTCTCTATCCCAAAATAAATAAACTTAAAGGTGTGCCTGGGTGGCTCAGTCAGTTAAGCATCTGACTTCGGCTCAGGTCATGATCTTACAGTTCATGAGTTCAAGCCCCACGTCCGGCTCTGTGCTGACAGCTCAGAGCCTGCAGCCTGCTTCGGATTCTGTGTCTCCCTCTCTCTCTGTCCCTCCCCTGCTTGCTGTCTCTCTGTCAAAATAAACACTAAAAAAATTTTTTTTAGTTCAAAGTAAATAAACTTAAAAAAAAAAATGAGTGGGAGCAGCTCCACTGGAATACAGCTGACTTTAATATACATTGTTACTTCAAATGATCCTGGACACTAAGTATAAATAAGAATAACAACCATCGCCAACATGCAAGCCTTCCATAATCTGCCCCCTCAATCCCCATGAGAGAATTTATCCTATTATATTTTAATCATCTGACTTCTTATCTATTCAGAGTTATCTCTAACTCCTTGAGGACTTCACTTTATCTTCGTATCCTTTCTGCCAAGTACTGGGTACCCAGGAGTCCTTAACTAAGTATTTGTTGACTAAATGGATAGCAGTCTTGCCCAATGAGCATCTCGTTCACCCTCCGCTTTGGCTGACAGCTTCCATCCAGGAAACCGTATCTAGAACATCAGAAGTGTGCTCTGTCAGGCAGGTAGGCACATGGCTATCAATCATATTCTCCCCTCCACCAGGCAAAGTCTATATAATAAGTCTGCTTCTAGATATTAGAAGTCTGCTTCTAAAACATCTTTGCAGGCATGAGTATTTCAGAATTTTTGTCTCAGCATCATGTTTACTGAAATATACTCTACCTATTGAGGATTGCTGCAGTATGTCCACACGTCAGGTTTCTGACAGACGTGGCAAGTCTGGGAGCAGAGGCAACAACTGGTGTCTGCAGAGAACTAAAATGCCGGGTGGACAGTGCAGAACTAAGACAGGCATTCTTGACACCGTTTTGACAGGCTGAAGACACCAAAATATTCAGGGGCCGTAAGACTCCTGTAAAGAGAGAGAAACATATTTAATATGATATGCCAAATTCTGCATCCAGATGTTCAAAATTAAGTAATGTATCAAAGCAAGGTGAGTATAAGACTCACCTGTGGAGCTTTTTACCAACTTTATTTAAAAAAATTTTTTTTTTAATGTGTATTCATTTTGGAGAGACACAGTGCAAACAGGAGTGGGGCAGAGAGAGAGGGAGGCACAGAATCTAAAGCAGGCTTCAGGCTCTGAACTGTCAGCACAGAGCCTAACGTGGGGCTCGAACTCAGGAACCGTGAGATCATGACCTGAGCCGAAGTCAGACACTTAACTGACTGAGACACCCAGGTGCCCCTTTACCAACTTTATTGAGGTATAACATAAATACCACAAAACTACCCAACTGTGTGTGAATTCGATACTTTTTAAATAAACATAGAAAGCTGTATAACCATCACCACAATCCATTCTGATGTGTCCTAGTTCTGTGTTCAACAGTAGGGAACAAAACAGTTGTAACATTAAGTCCCACCCACCAGATCTTACAATCTGATGAAGTAGGGCTCCATAGCACATAGGGCAATGGCAGGGCAGGGATGCAAAAGCCTGGCCGTTCCCTGCAGATGCAACAGAGTAGCAAGAGAAGGTTTTGTAAAGAACAAAAAAGGTACTTGAGCTCTCCTCTAGAAAATGAACAGGCCACAAGAGGAGGTAGAGAGTCCGGATAGGATAAACATACATGAAGGCAAGGGGGCTGAAGCAAACATATACCTGGAGCGGGGACGGGACCTGCACAAGGCTGAGCACTGCCTGCCTGAAGCTATGTGTGGAGATGCCTGGGGACAGATCAGAAGGTGCATCACAGAGTGGGGGTGGAGGGGCCCTAGATGCATGCACTGAATGCATAATCTTCACATTATTGCCAAAGTTAAGAGTCCAGGGCTGCAAAGCCAGTGGAGCACTGACTCCACTCAGGCTGTGGGTCTAGTGTGGGACTCAAGAATGTGAACACTAAAAAGCTCCACAGGATGATGGAAATGCCCCCAAACTGGATTGTAGTTATGGTTGCACAACCCATTAAATTTACTAAAAATCGTCAAATTGTACACATAAGACAGGAATTTTATGGTATGTAAATTACACCTCAATAGTTGGTTTAAAAAAAAAAAGCTCTGGGGCACCTGGGTGACTCAGTCAGCTGAGCGTCTGACTCTTGATTTCGGCTCAGGTCATGATCTCAGTTTGTGAGTTCGAGCCCCCATGGGGCTCTGAGCTGATAATATGGAACTGGCTTGGGATTCTCTCTCTCCCTCTCTCTGCCCCTCCCCTACACTCTCTTTCTCAAAATAAACTTAAAAAAACAAAAAACACAACTCCACGGGGAGTCTGATGTTCAGCCAGGTCTTAGAACCACTGCCTTATTGTCCACTGCACTGACTTCACATAACAAATGAGAGGCAGTGTGGTGTAGAACTGAAGAACTGGTATTTGAGTCAGACTGTCTAGGTTCATAATCTAGCTCTACTACTCACTAGCTGTGTGACCATGGGCAAGTTACTTAACCCCTTTCTGCCCCAGTTTCCTCAAATTTAAATAAGGTTAATCATGAGGAGGTAACAAGAATTAAATGAGACAACATGAAAAGTGCTAAGAAGAAGGGTTTGCACAGGGAAAACATTTAATGAATGCTAATGGCAGATAATAAAGAGCAGAGAAATGCTTAGTAAAAATGTTATAATGTTACCTGGGGGCAGGAGAAAGATTGAATACTTAAAACCCATATTTTTGCTTTTCTGTTCTCCAAGATAACAATTTTCAAACTAAAAAGGGTAGCATAAACATTAATAAGTTAGCTGAAATCCATGATTCAGGAGACATTTGAGAGAGCTCTTTTGGGGGGGAACTTAGAAGTGAAATTCTCTACTCAGTACAAGGCATTCAAGTCTCCAGGTATAAATATATTTCAAAGAACTGAAAATATTTGCAGACATGATAAGCTAGGAAATAATTTTTGAAAGATTAAGTGAATTGAAGAGGAGGACTGTAGACAAGAAAATGTCCCAATTTTCACAAGGTCATCCAAACTTGGTGTTTTGGTTAAAACAAAACAAAAAAACCCTCAGAAATTCTTAGAAACCACTCCTGAAGGAAGTGAGCAGGTAAGGGTCTAGAATATATAAATAGGTAAACTACAGGCTCATCTGTCAAAACAAAACAAAACAAAACAAAACAAAACAAAACAAAACAAAACAAAATGTTAGAATGGATACAGAGAATTCACCACAGGAGAAAAATCTACATTGTCAATTGGGAGTGAATTGTTCCTTAAAAAGTACCTCATTTCATTTTTTATTGCAGTCCTAGCCTGGGAAATCATGGAAATGTCTAGACACAGCATATCCTGATTTTAGAAAGGCATGTGAAAAGATTTCTTTATATTCTAAAGAGATAAATGTGGACAGGATAACAGTACAGTTAGGTAAATCCCAAGTTGACTAGAAAGTATCCCCAAATTAGTTGACTGCCATTCTCCTGATGAAAGTCTTTTCCTGGCTCCCTAATTGACTATTTTCCCCAATTTTTATGAAGGTCCTGAAGCTGCGTAAAGCATGTTTGTCACATCTGCATAAAAGCAAAGTCCAAAGACTATCTGCACTGAAAGTGATCTTGGTAAAATGGATCAAAATTAATTAAGACAGAATTTGGGATAAATACATTAAATGAAGGATGAACCTTGCTTGAGAGCAGTTCCTGGGAAAATGACTTGGGGGCCCTTGTCCACCATACTCGCAGGTGGACCAACCACGCGATTTACCTTGTAAAAACTGAACACAGTCTAACTCAGAATGTGTTAACAAAAGGGTAGCACACAAATCAAGGGCAGTAATTTAACTGCTCCTTTGGTCTTGTACCCTGTTTAGGCATTTCAATACATACTAGCTTTCTCTCAACACATTCTGGTATGGAGAACATGGATATCTTAACAAAGAAGGTGACACAGAACCAGAATTTTGAAGGAATGAGGAAGCAGAGAGAACGGAGTACACAGGTGAAGTGGCAAAAATGGCATAGTATGTTTGGGGAATTACAAATAGTCCCATGTGGCAGGAATCGAAAGAATGGTAGGGAGTGGGAAGAGAAGGGAGTGTGACTGTCTAAAGCAGTGCTCTTCAAGCTTCTTTGATCCCATACCCTCTAGAAGAATTCTGAAAAATTATTTACCCTTTCACAAAATTTTAAGTAACATCTAAATTTTTAAATAGTTTAACTTGTTAAAAAGGATATAATGTCCAGTGTATTTAAAATACTGACATTTCGGGGCGCCTGGGTGGCGCAGTCGGTTAAGCGTCCGACTTCAGCCAGGTCACGATCTCGCGCTCCGTGAGTTTGAGCCCCGCGTCAGGCTCTGGGCTGATGGCTCGGAGCCTGGAGCCTGTTTCCGATTCTGTGTCTCCCTCTCTCTCTGCCCCTCCCCCGTTCATGCTCTGTCTCTCTCTGTCCCAAAAAAATAAATAAAAACGTTGAAAAAAAAATTAAAAAAAATAAAATAAAATACTGACATTTAAAAGTAAGCTGTCACATCACTCTTTCAAATGTTTACAATGAAATCTAACTATCACAGTGAGTTGATACCCACCTACATCATCTATTTAAACAATGCAAGAACAACAGGGGCACCTGGGTGGCTCAGTCAGTTAAATGGCTGCCTATTGATTTCGGCTCAGGTCATGAGCTCACAAACTATGAACCCTGCCTTGGGCTCCTAGCTTAGAGCACGGAGCTTGCTTAGGATCCTTTCTTTCTCTCTCTCTCTCTCTCTCCCTCTGCTCCTCCCTGAGCTCTCTCTCTCTCTCTCTCAAAATAAATTAAAAAAAAAAAAAAAAGCAAGGAAAATAAATTCAAGTCAATGAAAATAAGAACTTCTTTTTATCAAAAGATACTTTAAATAAACTAAAAGGGCTAGCCAGAATGGGAGAAGATCCTGGGAACACACTTATATGAGAAAGGATGCACATTCGTAATATATAAAGAACTACTATGAACCCATAAGACAACTCAACAGAAAAATGGGCACAATATTTAAGTAGATATTTCATCAAAAATTCAAGTCGCCAATATACATGTGTAAAGGTATTCAAACTCATTAGTAAGCAGGGGAATGATATTTAAACCACAATGAGATGCCACTAAATACCCATAAGACTCACAGAAATTTGCTGGTCTAACAATACCAACTGTTGGTGAGGATGTGGCACATACAGTGCTGGGGTGACTTTAAAGAAGCACATCGCTTTTACAGTATCAGGCAATGCAATACACACACACACATTCTGATTCAGCAACTTCCACGGCCAGTTTTACAAGTATACACACACGCACATCTTAGAGAAACTTGCACTCAGGTACCAGGACACAAGGTCAATCAGCTTTCGACCTAATTGCCCCAAACTGGAAACACTCAAATGCCCAGTATCCTAAAATGGAGAACTGTGGAGTGGTCACATAAAAGACTATTATATAGCAACAAGAAAGCACTACAGCCACACCCAAAATGAATGAATTTCACAAATTAAAAGACATAGGGTTACCTGTGTAATTCCATTCACGTAAAGTACAAAAACAGGCAAAACTAAACAGTATGTTATATTACTTAGAGATGCATATATAGATATTAAAACTAGTACAGAAATAAAGGCAAGGTAACAATAAAAATGAGGATAGTGTTTATATTTGGCAGAAAGAGGGAATTCTGACTGGGAGAAACACACAGAGGCTCCTGGTAGTGTTCTAAGTCCTGCCTTGGGTGTTACATGGTGTTTGCTTTAGACTTATTTGTTAAGCCATTCACGTGTTACATATTTTTCTATATGTAAATCAAAAATTACTCCACGTAAAAACGCTCTTCTGTAATAGTTGGAAAATTTACACTGTAGTTTTTTTTTTAATTTCTATTGTTTCCACAGAGTTTTATCCTAATTTACTTTGTGTTTAACTAATTTACTCATAATTTTATCATTTAAATATTTTTGCAAAAGTCCTTCGAGTGAAGGCAGCTTAACTTAATTGCCTTCACTCCTGTCATCTCTCTCGGTCAAGAAATCCTTAGGACTGCCCCTGTGCCCGGGACTGAGTGTGCAAAAGAGTCAGATTCCCTGCACGTTGTGGGAATCTCATACATACAAGCTTACTGTGAGCCAGGCACTACGCAGGGCGCTTTACGTGCACGAGGTCATTCAGTCCTCAGGTAGATGGTGTCAATCCTCGTTTGAGAGCTGTAGAATCTGAGGTTCAGAGAAATTACTTTTTCAAGCCCAACGGTCACGAGTGGCGAATCCTAGCCTCTAAATCAGAAGGTTAGCGGGGACTTCGCTGCCTCCTCTGTCCCTCTTCCGTCCCGTCCTTTTAGTCTGTTTTCAAAGTAAGGCGGAACGACCAGGAGCCGGTAAGGAAGCAGAAACCGGGGACACCCAGGTCCGCGAGGATCCAAGAGTGTCGGGAATATCCAATGCGAAGGGCCGAACACAGGCAGCCCTGAGAAAATTTGGAACAATCCTCTGGCCTTTTTTTTCCTGTTCACCTCCATGCTAAATGCCTACTCCATCCCGCGCCATTCCCGCTTTCTGTGAAGGGATAAATCGAGCGCGTCGGTTTCCACTGACCTGATGCAGCTCTGAAGGCACGGGCAAAGGCAGAGGCCGCCATCTTGCCATCCCGCCCTACGGCAGTCGCATTGGGTCTAAATGCTCCAGGTCAAAAGGGAATTTAAAGAAAAAACAAAACTTGGGTGGAGTCGAGGAAGGAGAAAAAAATGAATAAAGGAACGATCAAGGGAACATTCCCTGTATTGAATGTCTTCTATACGCCAGGCTGCTCTTCACCGCTGGAAAAGAAGTGCCTATAAAGAGTGTCTGGCATATAGTAAGCTCTCAAATTTTTACGGAGCATTTGATTGACAGATCTATTTAAAGTACACAATTTGAAACACAATTTCTTTATGCTCAATTTTATTCAATTTCAGAAAAGAACCTATTTTCCATTCAAAGCTGGTGAATGTCAGGCTAAATGACTGGGAAATATCAATGTTATTAAAATTGTTTTTTTAATTAAATGCCAAACATAATTAAATGAATGTAAATATCCTAAGGATCTCTCTCTCTCTCTCTCTCTCTCACACACACACACACACACACACACACACACACACACACCACACACTTTTCTAATCATTAGCACTGATTGTTATTTGGTAGAATAGCATCTCTACTCTTCCTACCTAAACAATTCTACATTCCTTACTTTATTCTTCATAATTAGTGATCATACACTTTTTCTAATGTCATTCAAACACAAAACAACAAATCTCTCTCCCATCCTTGTTGGCTAGGATATTCCATGCATATACAATCCATGACACCATATACTAGTTGAAATGGGTAAGGATTAAACACAGGTCTCAATGAGTTCACATTTAATAAGGAGACAAGCATAGACCATCAATACAAGGCAAATGATAGAGGATGTGGTAGGTAGAATATAACATGAGTCTTAAAGAAAGGTGAAGATTTTAACAAGAGGAAGATCATTCGTGGCAATACAAACACAAAGAGGTAAGATGAGACAAGAGGGAGCCAGAGAGAAAGACACAGGATTTATTGACAGCTGTGGTTCTAACTTTTAGGTCTTAGAACCTCCTTACATGCTTAAAAGTTGAGGACCCCAGAGAGCTTTTAATTATATTTCCAATTGCTGCTGAAATGAATTACCTCAAACTTAGTGGCATAACACAATACAAATTATCTTGTAATTCTATAGGTCGTAAGTCTAAATTTTTTTTCACATTTATTTATTTATTTTTGATAGAAGGAGATGCAGAATCTGAAGCAGGCTCCAGGCTCCGAGCTGTCAGCACAGAGTCCGATGTAGGGCTCAAACTCACGAACCGTGAGATCATGACCTGAGCCAAAGTTGGATGCTTAACCAACTGAGCCACCCAGGCACCCCTGTAGGTCATAAGTCTAAAATGGGTTTCACAAGGCTAATATCAAAACATCTAGGGCTATGTTCCTTCTGGAGGGTCTAGGGGAGAATATGTTTCCTTGCCTTTCCCAGCTTCTAGAAGCTGCCTGCCTTCCCCGCCTTGTGCCTCCTTCCGTCTTCAAAGCCAGTAATCACATCTCTCTGACTTCTGCTTCCATTGTCACATCTCCTTTTCAGACTCTGGCCCTCCTCTCCCCATCTGTTACTCATAAAGGCCCTTGTCATTACATTGGGCCTATGCAGATAATTCAGGATAGTCTCCCCATCTCAAGAGTTTTCATTTAATCACACCTGCAGATCTTTTTTGCCGTGTAAACGAACGTATTCATAGGTTCCAGGAATTAGGAAAATGTACATATATTTGGGAATAATTATCCTGCCTATCATACTGAGTAATTCATTTTAAAACAATTATTTTTATAACAAAATATACTCAGGAAAAATAACTATTCCAAGATAAAAAAAAAATTAGTGAGAAGAGTGGCATTGTTTAACCTCTTTTGCAAATCTCTTTTAAGATCTGGTTTAATAGAAAGCTGGATTCTGAAATTTGCTTATGCATTCAATCTATTGTGATATCACTTGTCACCTAGCTTCTGGAAAAAATCTACTTTAAAATTACAAGATGAGTGAAAACAGCAAATATCTTAATGTTATGAAGGTAGTGTTGATTTTATGCGTCTTCTGAAAAGGTCTCAAACTCCCTAGTTCACACTTTGAGAACTACTGAGATGGTTATCCTTTAGTTCTTCTGGGTTTTAGAGTATGTAAATGGGTGATCAGCTTTGACCACTATCATTGCTATATTACTCTCCCACCTAAGATGGCCATGTTGAGCCTTAAAAACATTCCCCTGGGGCGCCTGGGTGGCGCAGTCGGTTAAGCGTCTGAC